AAGATTTCGTCACGCAACTGCAAAAATACCTTTATAGCATCGTGTCTCATGTAAGTACGGTTTTAAAGAAACTTACAAAGGTACTGCTTTGTTCCGAGAAATTCATTTGCTGGTTGGCAACGCGCTGCGGCTGAATTAAAAGCCCACTGGAATTTCCCGTTTTTGAAGGCGTATTCGCTGAAAAAAAAATTTTTTAAATAAATATCTGGCAGTAAGTGAACGAAATTTCTTAGCGCCTGGTCAAAAAACCGTACTTGGATATCAGTGATATCAGAAATAATTCTGAAATGTAGGAAAACAAACATTTTGCATCATAAAGCAGCGCCGGTGTATTTCCAAAAGACGAAGGCAAATCAGTCTGCGAAGGCAAAGTTCCGCTTGGCTGCCCAGGCTGCCAATAATAGCATGTCTGAAAAAGCACATTAAACTTTCTAAGAAAAGCCAAGCGCACAAAAATGACCTAAGTGAAAGCGCCTTCTCCATCCCAACAGCCGGATGGCGGTGAATTCCCTTCCAAAGATTGTATGGAAGCAAACTTTATTGAATCGGATTCCCTGATATGATCTAAGGATAAGAGAGCAGGCAGATAAAGATTAACTGTTCTCCGTGCGATCCGAGAAGAGAGTGGTGCTGCGAGCAGGAGGATTCGAAGAACCCACTGGGAAAGAACAAATACACTTATGGCGATGCGAGAGATGCAAACCGATTATCAAAAGGGAGACGAGAAGCAACGGTAAAATGCCAGCTGATTACAGCAGCAACGCGCATATGCTTTTTTCGTGATTTCTTAAATTGAATAAATAGGACGACAAATTTAAGAAGCCGGTGCGATCATGCGTTTTGCGCGACTCTGCCCACTAGACGTTTGCTATTAAGAATTTTCGTTGCTTTACACTTTGATGTGAGCGAAATAACTGATGTATTATCTTTTGCCAAGCTGTGGAATTTCCCGCAAAAAATTTCACGTGCCCGTATGTGAAATATGAAAAAGTGCGTGTGAGCTTAAAATAACTTTGTAGGACTGCATATGGGCAGAAAGCATCTTCCGAAAGTTCAACTAAAAATCCTAAGCGAAATTTTGCGTGTCCTTGCATAAAACTTAAGCGGGGCACGAAAGTTGAATTTGAAATTTCATGATCGCATATTAAAAGGAAGCATCATCCCAAATTTCCAGATTTCCATTTTGTCCAGTTCCTAAGGCAAAAAATTTCCCGTCAATACACTCAGGGTGTCCGTAGCTGAGAACTAAACGTATTTGGACGTTGACTCTAAAGTTGTACAGTCGCAGATGGGCAAGGAACTTCCGTCTAAAATATCTGCA